TCAGTAAAGTTGATAATGTTCTCTAGTGAAATTGTGTATATTTTTTTGGTTCTACCAGGTCAACTGTATGTTTGCCTCTAGTGAAATCATGTCTGTTTACTTCTTAGAATATCATAGAAATGAATTTTGTTAACTGCTGATACACATGTTGACTCTTCAAATCGTTTTTCCAACCACTTTTTGTTTTCTAGAATGGAGAAGTTAAAAGCTTACCAAGTGCTTCTTCAATGTATGGTATGCTGGCTAAGATTCCTGATAAAGCCATCGTCAATGACGTCATTGTCGAATTCTTCAGTGAAATTTACAAGCAGTAGGTGGCAATGCCAGCAGCAGATGAAAGCTTCACACTAATTGGCCATTGACATTGCATGTTGACAACGAATAAACATACTCTTTGATTTATTTAGATATTCTCGTATACTGCTTTGCCATGGTACACTCTGGTCTAAGATTTAATTTCTTCCATTGAATCAGAATACGAGTAAGAACGCCATAGATGGGCTAAACTTTTCACCACCAGATTTTCCCATCCAAATTTGTCTGCACTGTTTTCTTATGTTCTTCAATATTTCTGGAAATGAACCATAATTTTTTTGAGCCAACAGACAAATTTTCAGTTTTTGGCTATTTTTGTCCCAATGTTCTGAAGGAAAGTCTGACTATTTTGTAAATTTGTTTTGAAAAGAAGGAACTGGTGGGGAAAAAGCTAAACTTATTCATGTTGTTTATATTTTCATTGACTTGGCTTACTACAAGTATAAACTATATTGTTGATAGAATTTTATGGGTGTGAACAAAAATATTGTTTTGAAAATAATTTTTTTGGACATAATAATTTTTTTGAGGGTGCAGTGTAATTAGAAATATTATAAATCTAACACCAAAAACAATAGAATTGACTGTATCTGACCTCCTAAAAACGTTCTTTTTTGTGTTTTTTATAAACTATGTCACCAACATGGTCATCTATGGAAATCAGATGAGCAGTACAATACCTACTCTAGTAATTTTTTCAAATTGAAAACTGGTCAAACTATGTACAACTAAGGTTAATTCAAGATCAAGTTCTGTTTCCAAATGTTTTTTTTTTTTTTTTCACTAATCACATGTAATAATGTTGTAAGGTTTCAGGAAATTCCTGCCAAGACTGATAGGCCCCACAGAGTTAGAATTTAGTTTCTCCTAAATGTAAAATCATAATCTTAAAATCCTGGGGCACATGTTAGTTATGATAAAGTGTGGCTCCATTGTAGCAATCTTACGAATTCACCAACCAATGCACCTCCTTTCCTTTACTTGGAACCGATCAATCTACTTGTAAAAGCAGACATCCCTCTTGTCCAAATCTGAGCGATGTTTTGACGACACTGTCTCGATTTCATGCATAATACGGAATCTCAAGAAGCTTGGAAAGTGGTGTATTGGCCATTTTTCACAACATTCACTGATTAACACTTTAAATCATAGTTCTACAGCCACTGTATGTACTGTAAAACATGTTGAAAAAGTGACATGCAATTTAAGCAAATTGTGGTGAAATGACGTAATAGCGAAATGTTGATTTAGCGAATATCTTGCCAAAACCAATACGCAATTATCACCTCCATACAAGCAAAGAAAAACTGTCAAGTGTAATAAGGAAGCGCTCAAGATTACGTTTTCTGTGTTGCTTTACAAAGTGTGTGTGAAGAAAAAGAAGTTGTTTGGGCCATTTTGAACTTTAATAAAGTCATTAGCAACATCTTGAATTAGCGAATCAGTTCTCTCACTAAAAAGAGGTGCTCACGAAAAAGACATGTTTTACTGTATTTTGCCAGAGTATGCAGCTGAACAAATGACTAGAATAATGCAATAGATAATATTTATTAATTGTTAACACAGATATTGTACAACAGAATAACACATTAAACCCTGACCCCCACTTTTGTTTTACTGTAAATGCTTTTACACTGAAGGGAATCATGCGACTGGAAGTTCGCTGTTAAGAACACCGAAAAGTTTCAAAATAACCACAGTAAACATTAAATTTAAAACAAAATAATTTTAGAAAAAAAAACACCATCGAAGGCATCATATTTTAAGTTATTGTACAATTACCAGTACAGAAGAAAAAAAACATGTATAAGCAAAAGTAAAAGTAAATTCAGAGAAAAATTATAAACGTAAAGTAAATCAGACTACAAGTTTTTTTTTGTATTTTTATCACAGGTAAAAAAAAAGTCACCTGTACAGATTGCACGAAGCACCCATAAGACCAAATTTAGTCTTATTTGTTACGATAAAAAAATTGTCTTAACAGCTGATGACAGAAATGATTCAATGAAACACCATATTATTTCACTTATAAAACAATTTTATGAAAATTATGCATGTAAGCACACATGCTTCCAATTTTGAGACACAGAAAGACTTTCACTGAGTGCGCAGGAGTGCAAGAGAATGGATGTAAATTTCACATCATATTTGTAATCAACTGACATCTGCTTAAAACAAAACAGATTAAATACATAAAGTTCTAATGATTTTGTTAAAATGAATTCCAGTGAAATGAGAATACCCCTTTGACGTAAAAAGCCGTCAAAATCATGCCAAGTGTGACGGCCACAGGACTTTTTTTTACCCTTCAAATAATGTTCCCTCTCTGCGTCATCGCATCCACTTTTATTCGAAACGTTGCACGCGATGACAGGAAAGAATGGAACATGATTTGAATTGCAAAAACAAGTCTCGTGGATGACGCTCTTGACAAGATTTCATCGGCCAATTCATGCAGAGTCTCTTAATTTTATACTGTATTGATTCAAGTAAAGAAAAGATCATTTATATTTGCTGTATTAGAAGCACATCTCCAACATGCAACCTCAAGAATGCAGTTTTGGTTGAGTTTAAAGTTCAACGAACTCTTAGTCATGCATTCACCACCTGAAATTATGGTACTGTGTTTGCATGCACAATTGAGAAGTTCTATTGTAATGATGTAGCATACGATAAAGTTTTCGGCCATGCATGTTTCTATTAGAAATGCACTCAATAATAGAGAAAATATATTTTTGAAAATTTCAAGATGATAACTACTGATGAAAATTGCAAAACAAATAACTGGATAACTGTTTCGGCAAAAAATTACAATGGCCCAAATCACTAAGGAAACACGAAAGTGATCTTACCAAATTTCTAGAAAAAAAGTAAAATAAACGTGTAAACAATTCCACAACATTTGGTAGATAGACATATATATTAAGTTTGTTATAAAAACTTCAAATATTAAAGATATTTTGCTTGGTTGAAGCTCACTTTGGTCACAGACCAAATCAGACCCAAGGGACAAACGAATCTTCGTATTTTGGGAAGAAACTGTATTCATCGTAAGCTGAGAGGCACTGTGAAAAAAAAAAGCTCACAAACTGGACAATCACAACAACAAAATATATACAAGCAATGCAACAAAAGTTTTGTTTTGACCAAGACTATCATTTATATGTTTCATATCTTCAAAGATAGACATATCTTGGTTTTTTGGCACATTGGCGAATCAATCGCACAGCAAAGTATTTTGATTACCTTGAAATTAATAATCAGGAAAAGCAAATAACATGGTTCAATACCTATATGTATAATACTAATCTAAGGGTGTTGGGTGGAGAATATTTCAAATATTCGTTCTGTGGATACATATATAGGACCTTTAAATGATGCACAATACAACTGTAAAAAATATAGTCAATAAAAAACGAAAGATATCAAAATTCTGGTAACCATAGTGACCAGCTGTCTTAGTTTTCAACATAATTAATTTTAGGTGTGTGCAATTGAAAAATTAATTGTTGTACATGCCAGGTTAGGCAAAAAAAATGATGTGTGGCTGGGCAGTTCATGAATTGATTCAAAAGGTGCTGCTCACAACTTTTTTTCTTTGGTTTCTGCCTAAAATATTGTAAAAAAACGAAAAAAACTGCACCACTTGTGTTATCAGTAGTAAATAGAATCAAGGGTGGATAATGATAAGGGTTGTTGTTTGTCAACGATTGCATTGATCTCATGTGTATTGTTGAATACTACAATGTTTTGTTTTACTCTGATGCTGGCTGGCAGGCATGAGTGATTACCGCTAAAGTTAAGTGCCAATCTGAGTTGTCACAAATACTGTATGCTGTGTTTAATTTCAGTGTTTTTGATATTTTGAGCACATTCACTGGGTTTTGAAATTTATTGAATTGCAAAATAAGCTGCGAGTTATATTCTACATGTTCAAAGGAATTGAATTGAAGTACTTCGATCATTTGAATTTCATGTAAACAAACCATGTTATGTACATTATGGGTTCTATATCAAACATGCGTTGCACGACGACTCAAACGATTTAAGTGCATGTATTAATTGGTAATATGATTTTGTGAGTTGGTGTTAGTGACTTTTGTGAAATCCTGTTTTGGTAACTGCCATAAAATCCTGAAATCGCAAAATTTCAATATCAAGAAGATGCACACAACGGTCATTTGCGTCCAATAGAACACAATCACGTGAACAAAATTTGCATACAAACAACATGCAAGATATATTTCAAATCTCTGGCAGTAATCACATATGCCCGGGTCAAGAAATATATTTGGTGGAACTCTCCAGCAGTAAATCATCACTGAGGTATACATGGGTACAGAAGCTGCCATTTTATAAATGGGACTTTGTCAATTGCTAAATACCGGTATCTTTATCCACAAACATGAAACAGTCAACTGTCCTAAAAAGACTTCAAAAGCAACAAAAATATATATTTTTTATAAGCTCACAAAAAAAAATTAATATTAATAAGAGCAATCATGCTCAGTCAGGCACAGCCATCAAATCAAATATCACCCGCCCCCTCCTCCTCACCAACTTCCTCTAAGGAATTACTTTCATGAAAATGACAACACTATACATGTATTAACATTTGTGCCCAAGAAAGAAGAACATTAAACCCAACACACAAACGGGTAAATATGTTCTTTGAGCGATGGTGAATATTAACGCCCATATTTTGGATGTAATATTTTTATAACATGCCGCTCAACATGACATTAAAACAATCACTGCCATCAAGAGTTAACAACATACAAGCGAATACACCGCCATCTTGAACAACAAATTCACCGCGTAGCAACAGTTCATACAACAATCAATACAAGCAGTACTGGACGGCGATGTTCTAATAACCCATGCATCGAATTTGTGTGAAAGTGAAGGCATGTAAATCCATTGGTACATTAAGCATACTCCAGGCAGGTGTTAATTTGAAGTATTTATTTTTTATCTTTAGAAGCATTTAGTTTATTTTTCTTCGATTTACTGTTAGGTTGCATGGCACTTTGTGGGCGATCGTTTTCAACCTCCGTGAGTGAATTACTACCAGTTGTGCTGCTATCGCTGAAACTACGTATCGACGTACTGTCCCCACACGGCTTTCTCAGCGAGCCTTCGATTACGTGCTCATTAATCGTTACATTTCCTTTTCTTGAGAAACTAGTTTTCTTAAATAATCTGTTTGTATGTACTCTTGTTTCCTTGCTGCCTGTAGATTCCACACTGTTTTGGCGTTCCTCCTGTAGTTTATTCTCTTCTATATTGTGGTGTTGGGGTTCTAGCACGCTACTAGTCCCACTGCTATGTCGAGATTTGCTTACAACATCAACGTTAACTTCTAATGGAGTAGGCACAATGTTTCCTTGACTACTAGCACCTGAAAAGAAAAAAGTGAAGTTACAGTTTTCACCACCAGACTTTCTTGCTCAAATTTTTCTGCACTTTTTTTCTTATATTCTTCAATATTTCTGGAAATGAACCCTAATTTTGGAGCCAACAGACAAAATTTGAGTGAATTTTCAGGTTTCACTCAAAAAATTTGTCTGTTTTTTTCTCAATCGTCTGAAGGGAAGTGCAGACTATTCACCACCAGAATTTGTTGCTGAAATTTTTTAGCATTTTTTTTCTTATATTCTTCAATATTTCTGGAAATGAACCCTGATTTTGGAGCCAACAGACAAAATTTGAGTGAATTTTCAGGTTTCACTCAAAAAATTTGGCTTATTTTATCCCAATCTTCTGAAGGAAAGTGCAGACTATAAATGAGACTATTTTGTGAATTTCTGAGAAAAGAGAACTGATGGTGTAAAGGTTAAACAATTTTGTTAGGAAGGAAAATAATTTGTGACATAATTACTTCCTTTCGACTTGCAAGATAATTTCCTAACTTAAATTAGCTTAACGTATCTTGTACTAAATTTGACATATATCAGTAAGTTGATTGCTTTTGAGTGAAAAGCAACAATCCTATGGTATCAGGTTTGAATTTCATGAAAAATTATTCACATAATGAAGTACTGTCAATGATTTAATTATTCACTACCTTTTTAATTTCACTGTTGAGTGGAATTCCCTAAATTAAATTCATGCAAACATGTACAATAGCAATAGAATTTAGTGTTTCACTGTCAAATTCCTGAACCTAGTAACAACGCTGAAAATATAAAAAAGTGGAATTAAATAGTCATTAAAAATTAAAGCGAGGGAGTCATCACCTGCACCGGTGTCAGATGGCCATAGCGCGTTTATTGTTTACAAACAAGCATCTACCCATGAGCCTCTGCATTTTTAGCACGTGTTATCATCGCTTGGGACTCAGTGTGTGTGTGCAGGTGATGACCTTCTCGCTTTAATGCTTTTACAATAATTAGCGTGGTAAAATAAATACATAGTTATGGTAGTCATAAGAAATCCACATCAGAAGTGACTTGCTAATAGCTGGAAAGTACCAAGCATTTCCTTAGATTCACCAAATCGCAGGCATGATGCTTTGTTTCACAATCGAAGATGAACCAAATCACAAAACCAATATTCAATGTGAAGCAAATTCCATTAATGTTAGTCTAAGATGCACACCAGACTCTTGGATTGATTTCTGTACAGCCATTTGTCCCACCCCTCAGAATTACTGTATATAAAAGTACTGTACTTGTATTGCCAATGCATTTCAGTCAACTTCAAACTTTGAAGGTTAGTTATGTTTAAAGTGGAAGGGTCATCTGCGCTACTTTAAATGGTCGTAGCCTGTCATTGTTTACAAACAAGCGTCTACACATGAGCCTTTGTGGTTTAGCACGAGTTGCGCTTGGGACTCAGTTCCTGCCGTGTGCAGGCGACGACGAACCCGCTTTTAAATACACACCCAACGCAGAAACGAAATAGCCATGCATAACAGAATTTATCATAGTGATGACAATAACTTGGTCAATAAGCAATGAAATACGTTAGATTTCAAACATAACTCACAAATGCCATGATAACTTTTTCAGATTTTTTTTGTGCAAAGTTACTAAAAATTAAAAAGGGGTTTCATTTCAAGTAAATTTTCCAAATACATGTAATGTCACAAGACAAATTTGTTGAGGTCAGGAATTTTTTAGCAGAGAACTAGGGAGTCTTTATTAACCCACTGGGTGCCATCATTTTTCAAACCAAAGTTAGTATGCAGCATTTTACCTAATTGGTTTGATAATTTTGGATCAACTGGCATAAAATATTGTGAAATGTTGTTATACTATAATCTTAAAATCTTTCAAGATATGTAATAACTAAACCACAGGATGTTGCATCACTCTTATTAAAAGGATCCGATGAAAAAGAGCTTGGCTGTTAATTAAGAAAGAGCTTTTTTGATTTTATAGAACCCCTAGGTATATCTTATTTTTCAATGAAAAATCATAAATTGAAGATACTTAAAAACAGTGGTCAAAATTAACAACATGCTTTGTCATGATGACTCAATTTGTATATTTTCATTTTTTAATCAATATATCACAGTCAAGTATGAAATAATTTTAGAACATCTTTAGATGCTTAATAGTCATCTACATAATACTGAACACCAAAATAATGGTCACAGAAGATTTCATGATCAATTAAATATTCAAAGCACCATATCATCTATTGATATGCAAATTAGTGTACATCTGACATCAAACTGATTAATCAAACTACTCGGGCACTCATCAGATCCTTTCACTTTTTTCAGAGATTGTAAATGTGGTATACATGGAAAATCAGTGATTTTTATTAAATTTATCCATTCTAAAGATTTCACTATCTGAATGTAAAACAACATTCTGGTGGAAATGCTGAAATAAACATTAAGAAAAAAAGTTACTGTAAAATTACTAATTTTCACTGTGTTTAAATTTTACTGGTTTAGCATTTCAGCCATATTTAGTGTGTTTTAAATTCATGGTTTTATCATTTAGATAATGTGTTCTAT